TGTGCCAGGCAGAGGAGAAGCACATAGAAGCCTGAGATGAGAAGAGTCCTAGCATGCTCTGGGACCAAAGAGAAGACCAGTGCGGCTGGAATACTGGGTAAAGAGGAAGGCTTGGGAGGACACGGGGCTGAGGCCTTTTATATAATAATAAATGTTGATAGGGTCTTTAGGCTAAGAAACATTTAGGGGAGCCATTATGTGTGTAATTATTCTTAACTGAAAAGTTCAAAGAACTGTTATTTGAGCTATAATTTGTTAAAATCAGCAATGACAACAAAGTACTGGGACAATAAAAGTTTCTTCCTGCATTGCTTTTTAGATTGTGTATTTTTATAATATTAGTTTCCTAAAGCTGCTGTAACAAATGACCACAGAGTCTATGGCTTAAAACCCCAGAAATGTACTCCCTCGCAGCTCTGGAGGCCAGAAATCCACAATTGAGGCCTCAGCAGGGCTGCACTCCCTTTGCAGCTCCAGGGGAGGTTTTTTTTTTTTTTTTCCGCCTCTTCCAGCTTCTGGTTGTTCTTGGCATTCTTGGTCTTGTGGTCACAGAACTTCAATCTTTTCCTCCCTCTTCACATAGGTCTTCACTTGACCTTCTTCTCTGTGTGTCAAAGCGCTCTCTCCTTTCTTTTATAAGGATACCAGTCAGTGGATTTAGAGTGGATTTCTAAACCCAAGATGATCTTATCTGCAGACCCCTAACTGCACTACATCTGCACAAACCCCGTTTCCAAGTAAGGTCATATTCACAGGTATCAGGGGCTAGATCTTGGACACATCTTTTGGGGGACACAATTGAAGTCACTATAATAATGTTTATTTCAAATCATTATTATTATTAGATTATATTTGAGCATTATTGCTGTATTTCTTTTCTTTTTTGAGATGGAGTTTTGCTCTTGTTGCCCAGGCTAGAATAAAGTGGCCCGACCTCCACCTCCCAGGTTCAAGTGATTCTCCTGCCTCAGCCTCCCGAGTACTGGGATTACAGGCATGCGCCACCACCCCTGGGTAATTTTGTACTTTTAGTAGAGACGGGTTTCTCAAAGTTAGGCTGTCTCGAACTCTGGACCTCAGGTGATCTGTGTGCCTTGGCCTCCCAAAGTGCAGGTATTACAGGTATGAACCACCGCACTGCCTGGCTGCTGTGTTATTTCTTAGTGTATTCACATCAATACTCCGCATCCATTTACCACCACTAAAGATGACAGCAGCACAGAGAAGCAAGCAGTACACTCGTCCTGTCATGGGACTCAGCCTGGCTTGGCCGCTATCTGCTGCGTGAAACTTAACTCCTGCAAGCCTCATTTCTTCACCCTAAAAATGAGGAGTGCCATTTGACCTTTACATATATTATTCCCTTTACATGTGTTATACGAATCTACAACTTCATGACTTAATTCAGGACTCTGCTCACTTTTTCTGGCCATGCTGACATTTTGGCCTCTGGTCCTCCTGCTTTAAAAGATTTTAATCATTTTCTAAGTCGGTGGGGATGGTGGTGCTGGGGTCCTCCCTGAGGATTTGTACTCCAAGTTTTTTTCACAGAGAGAAACAATTTTACAGGGGACAGTTTCATTGGAAATAAAACAATGATACTTGGTAGTTGGTGCAATTCTTTTGTTATCCTTATTGAAGGCTCAGTCCCCAGGAGAAGTTTACTTAGCACTTGTCATTAAAGAAACATGAGCTGATTAGAAGCCAGTGTGAGCAAGTAAAGAGAAAGAAAGTTTCTGATTCAGTTGAATTATAATAAAACAAGCACCTCTGTACAGTTTAAGATAAACCCAACTGAACAGGAGTGAAATGTTATTTATGTAAGCTAAAATCCTTATTAACTTGACAGCAGCATTATTATTAGGCAAAGCCTGATATAACAGAGATACAGGCTCAAAACAGGCATAAATAATGCCCATTATATTTGTTTATTACAAAAATAGCCAATTGTGAGTAGTGGTGATACTAGGTTTTCTATTGAAAGTGATTCTTTCTCCGTACATCTGGGGTTTAAATTCATACAGCCACCAAATTCTGCCAGAGCTCAATGAGGATCTCAAAGGTAGGAGATTGATCCATTTGGTCAATGTAGGTGTCTATGAAAGACTCAGAAACATTAATCTGGCAGGGTACCAAAGGGAAAGAAATAATTGAAAAGGAGACACATAAAGGGAGAAGAAAGACAGCTATTAAAAAGTTGAATTCTAGCAGAATTATGAGGGTATTTTTATAGCACTCAGTGTATTTTTAGATGGCTTCCTCCATAGACCCTAACACAGAATGCATCACAGAAAAGTACAAAAGAGCAATAGTCCTTTTTATGAGATTCTGTTCACAGGAAAAGAAAAAGAAGATTTAGCCAGCAGCAGAAATTTGTTCCACCTAGCTTTAAATGGAAATCAGTTTTAAAGCAGTTATGGAAAAATTTAGCCAGGTTCCCAAACAATACAACATGTTCAGTGCGAAGTCTGATTCACGGAGCTTCTGCCAGCAAATCATTATTCTTGCACTACAAGAAAAAGGGTGTATTGTTCCCTGTTACAGGAGAGCTAGGGAAAAAGAACATGATAGTCAGTAGAGGAGCTAAAGAGACTTGATGTATAGATTATATTGACTCACTAGTCAATGGAAAGAAAAAGTAACCCGTATCTAATCTTTCAATTCTTCCTTTGAGGCATCTTTCAGATGTGTACCTTCTTCTCCACGACTTCTGAATGTGTCTTCAAATCATCCCCTCCCTCTTGTTCACCTGTGTTGCCATCACAGTCCCTCACCCAGCTGGGGTACCAGACAGCTGTCTGTGACACTCAGCCCCATTCCTACCTCATTCTATGATCTCTCCTATGGCATAGGGACTGGCAATATAGGAACTACATTTCCCAGAACCCCTTGCCAAACAGAGCTTTGTTTTGGATGCGAACAGTAAGAAGTTCCTGTGGGATATTTGGATGCAGAGAAGTGGTACCTGTGGGAGCAGTGGCCCGCTGACATGCAAAGTTTGGGACCTAGAAGGTTTTTAGTAGCCTCTAGAAGTCCACCAATAGATGCCGGAGGCTGCTGTGAAGTGTGGGGAAGTTTCCTTAAGTTCCTGACCTGCGTGGAAACAATGTCTAATCCCTCAGTAGCCAGCAGTGACTGGCCTTTCTCAACCTCAGCGACTCCTTTCCGTCACTCTCATAATCACCTAGTGCCTCACATCAGATCCCATCTTCCTTGGAGCACCTAGGGAAGGTTTTGTTTTCCTGATTGCTTACATCACTGCTCTCCAGAGCCCAGAAATCATCTATCACAGCTCTTTATTTTACAGATGAAGTCCAGGGCGATGAAGTGACTTGCTCCAGATCACTCAGCTCCTTAATTATGGAACCAAGCCTAGAATCTCAGTCTCCTAACTTCCAGGCTGATGCTAATTTCTATTCTTTCATGTCTCTGTAGAATTGTATCTCCTCATGTTCCTGCATATTTTTATACACCTATTTCATTGTATCTATGATGCCAGAAGTTATCATTATTTCATGAAAAAAAAACCTAAGAAAAATACCACCTAATAAATGGACTTAGTACATTTTAATCACTGGAAAATTTTACACTTACTTAAAGAACTCTTTTCAACTTGATTATAGGTTTTTAAGTTATTTATTGTATATACATAAAAAATAAGAAAAATAAATTGGGTGGTATATTTCTAAAACTTCCTTTCACATGGAGTCTGAATCATGTTTTGAATGAGTCTTCGAATCATGTTTTTGACTCAGTTATTAAGCCTAATTATATATAATTATGTATAAATATTTTATATTAATATATTATGTATATATACAGATAAATATATATCATGTATACCTATATATAAATTGCATTGTCAACATATAATTAAGTACAACTATATATTTATAATATAAAATATGGCACATATACACCATAGTTAATATATAATTAACTATGCAATTTAATTATATAATTGCCAGTTAGAATGGGGATCATTAAAAAGTCAGGAAACAACAGATGCTGGGGAGGATGTGGAGAGATAGGAACACTTTCACACTGTTGGTGGGAGTGTAAATTAGTTCAACCATTGTGAAAGACAGTGTGGCAATTCCTTGAGGGTCTAGAACCAAAAATATCATTTGATCCAGCAATACCATTACTGGGTATATATCTAAAGGATTATACATCATTCTACTATAAAGACACATGCACATGTATGTTTACTGCAGCACTGTTCACAATAGCAAAGACTTTGAATGAACCTAAATGCCCATCAGTGATAGATTGGATAAAGAAAATATGGCACAGATACACCATGGAAGGATATGTGCAGACATAATAAAGGATGAATTCATGTTCTTTGCAGGGACATGGATGAAGCTGGAAACCATCATTCTCAGCAAACTAACACAAGAACAGAAAACCAAATACCACATGTTCTCACTCATAAGTAGAAGTTTAACAACGAGAACACGTGGCCACAGGGAGGGAAACATCACACACTGTGGCCTGTCTGGGGAATGGGGGTTTAGGAGAGGGATTGCATAAGGAGAAATACCTAATATACATGACAGGTTGATGGGTGCAGCAAACCACCATGGCACATGTATACCTATGTAACAAACCTGCACATTTTGCACATGTACCCCAGAACTTAAAGTATAATACAAAAAAATAATTAAATATATAATTTAATTAAATGTTTATATATTTAAATTATAGATTTACTGAAAACATATATTGAAATATAATTGAAAATAATCACATAATTATGAAATTATATATAATGTATAAAAGTTTTAAAATATAAATTCCTATGTCAACAAAATATAAGGTAATATTTCCTTAAAAAATTGTAATTTAATTTTAATTTGATTTAATTTTGTTGGTGCATTGTAGGTGTATATATTTATGGGGTACATAAGATATTTTGGTGCAGGCATGCAATGTGTAATAATCACATCATGGATAATTGGGTATCCATCCCCTGAAGCATTTATTTTTTGCGTTATAAAAAATATGGAATATTCATAAACTTATGTGTCATTCTTGCTCAGGGACCATGCTAACCTTCCCTGTATGTTCCGATGTTAACATATGTGCTGCTGAAGCGAGTGCAATGTAACATTTAAATCAGTTAAGCAACTAAAATGCTGTGGTGCTAGACTCTTAAGTCACTTGGCAATGACATAGAATTAGACTTCTTTTTTACATTTGCTTCCTGTAGGTTAAACATATATAATACACTGTCTCACCCATCATCTTTCAAAACAAGTAGTTCCTAGGAATAACAGAGGTTATCTGTTACTGTCTCTGGATCTTCTTGCAAGATGCTGACATGAATCTTAGATGTTGTTTTCTTGCTTGCAAGCATTGTCTGTGACATCAGAACTGCTACCCAGCTAACGACAACTAGAAGATGTCACCGAATCTAAGATGCATCCCAATTTCAGAAATATTACAACACAAAAATGTGTCATGATAAAAATCAGAATTTATTCCAGTTTTGGTTCTATTCTGTTTATTTCTGTGTCTGTACTAAGAGTATATGCATTTTCAAGGTACAGTTGGTAGCATATAATCATTTTTAGTGTCTCAGAATATGAGCGCACTTGGGGATTATTACAATATCGTTTTTCCTTAAAGTGAAACTTATATCATGTGTGTTAAGAATGCTATTGTTTTAACGTAATTAGTTAATCACTATAATTTATGATTAATTTAATGTCTTTAAGACGTAACATATACAGCTTTAATTCATGTTTGCACCCAACGAACATTTATTGTTCTCATATTACCAGGTATATTTGTGTCTGAGGAGATTATTAACTCTCACACTGAATAAGAATTCCTCTAACTTGAAAACTCAAAGATTAAGATTACTGTGATATCCATGTGTAGCTAGAAGGCTACGGTAATGGAATTGGCAAAAGTTTCTGTTGTTTGAGAAATGTAAGGCAGAAAGCAAAATTTACTTCTTTGAGAGGATACACTTGCCATCTCTTCTGTTTATTAGAAAATGGGTTTTTACTGTGCTTATTCATAAGCAGTACCTGCTTCTTGGACATTTGGCTGAGAAGAAAATGTAGCCTCGCATTCAGCAGGAACTTGCTAATACAAGAAAATGTTATATGTGATAAAGCAATGCATACAGAGCATGGCACCTTGCAGATGTGTTTCCATCTGTTGCTCAGACTTTTATCTTATTTTCCCTCCAACCAATTATATGGTCTTTCCATGCTTGGCAAATAGTAGGCAATCAATGAGTAAGTTCCTTCTATTTCCTGCTCTTGCTCCCAAGTTCAAGCAGGGAATGTACTTGGGCTGAAATAATTTTCTTTTCTTTACAGCTTGCTTACAGTTTTGAAGAAAGTAGATGGAGTGGACTGAATGTTTATGTGACCCCTACCAAATTAATATGTTGAAATCATAACACCCAAAGTGATGATTTTAGGAAGTGGGACCTTTTAGGGGGACGTAGGTCATGAGATGCAGAGCCTTCACATACGGTGTTAGTGCCCTTATACAAGAGGCCCCAGAGATTGCATTTTCTCCTCTGCCAAGAGAAGTCACAGCTAGAGAAAGCCATCTATGAACAGAAAACTCACCCTCACCAGACACCAGAGAGACTGTGTACTCCAAGTCACTCACAATTTCAGATTCACATATATATTGAATACCCCATGGAAACAAAGTCCATCATACTGTGTTTGGACTAGAATGGGTGACTTCTGGAGGAAGGCAGCTCCAGGATTCTGGGAGACCTTCTCAGGGTAAGCAGATGTGAAATTTCTACAGGAATTCTGTGAGATTCACCAGAGCCTGTATGTGATACCTGTGACCTCTGCTTTGCTGGGGACCATATGGCTACCCTAGCTGTTCTGTATTCCCCACAGGATTCAGGCAGATGCCCAGTGGTCACTTTGACCATCGTAGGCCTGTTCCGATTGTTACTGTGGAAAGGACCTCAGGATATCTGAAAATTGACTGTGTACTCTTCCAATTGCTCTTGTATACACATCATTTAACACTGGAAAGTAGTACAGTGGAGTGTTCATGATTTGTGAGGGCTGTCCAGCTGGCCAGACAAGTTCCAATCCTGGTTCTGTTACCTAGAGTTCTATGACCTTGATCAATTTACTTAACACTTCAGTTTCATCATTTCTGAATCGGAAAAATGCCTGTCTCATAGGGTTTTTGTGAGGACTGAATGAGATGTATATATGACATGCCTAGCACAGAGTAAACGCTAAATATGGAGAGCTATTATTATCATTGACAAACACTGCATTTACGACTTTCAATTCAACATCATTAGCTCATCTGTCTTACTGACACTTAATCAAGACTTTCTAAAATGTGAGCTCGTATTAATTTCCCGGTAACTCACTTGTCTACTTGAGTTCATTTTCTTTCACCAAACTGAAACTAACTCCTGTGGCATGACTGATTTTGCCAGAGTGATTCTGCATATCCTAAACAGGATCTTTCCATCTGCTGCTCAACCCCATCTGTTCTTGCCTCCAGCTGATCCAATTTCATATCCAGTTGGTAGAGGGCCACCTGAAAGAAATCTGCATTATGTTCTGATGTCCTGAAGAAATCTTGAGAAAAATTCAGCAAAAGAGTTCAGTCACTTGGACACACTAAAGGCTCAATAAATTATTTTAGGGGAAATGGGGAACTTGCCATATGGTGCTGTTTTTTGGTGGTGAAATTAGGTCAGATCAAAGTCATATTAGAAAAAACAAGGAAAACTGGTGCCTAGCAGAGTGCTATGTGCAGCACACACTATTTGTACTTACGAACTAATTAATATAGTACTATTATTATGTAGGAGGATGGCAAGTCCTTTGAAGGTGATAAATATTCCAAAGATGTTTCACTTCATTTTTAAGGTATTATTATTATTTTGATATTAAAAGTATGATATTTTAGATGATTAGAGAAACTAGGACATCTAAGACTTGAATTACTCTTTTACAAACTATGCTCTGGACTGCATTCACTTGAGCTGGAGCATCAGTGAACATTTATGAGGAAAGAGATACCTCTCTGCATGATGTAGCATGGTGTAACAGCAATAGCACTGAGCATCACCCCAAAACAATTTGCTGTTGCTTGTTAGATGCCAGCTGTTGTCAGATGCACTTTGCCTTTATTATCTTCACATATTTTATCAAATTAAGATACCATTTATTGTGTGATGCTCCATCATTTTATGTGGTACTTCCAAAAAAGATGTGCCACTGATTTTAAGAATTATCCCAATTAAAATGTGAAATGCGCCTTTGTCATAGAATGGAAGAATACAATAATCTATGATTCCTTACAACACCTCTATGAGGCTCATTTTACAAAAGAATAAATTGAAGCTCAGCAATATTAAACAAAATGCTCAAGCCCTTTCCAGCTAGAAAACAAGGTAATCTGGACTTGGATCCAGTTTTGTCTGCTCCCTACAATCTGTGTTAACCTTGGGCTTCAATGCCCTGGTTCTGTAGTGACTGTAGTTCCATAGATAGTAAGTACCAGTGAGCAAAACTCTAGAATGAAACTGTACATCTAGTGCTGTACCTGGAAGTGCATCTTATATCTGAAATAAGTATTCTACACTCACTCATTTCTTCCCCCTTTTTTCTAGTTTCTTTCTTTATTCATTGATGATCTACATAGAATATCATGTTTTAAACGAATTCCTTCTCTCTTCTGTACCCTAAAGAATCTCCTGTTTTGAAAGTAGTGTAGCTCATGTTAGAAATAATAAGAACAGGAAGAATGGCTTTCTTTAAGAAAAACTTAAAGGTTAAAGGTTTCTTTCATCTCTTGTAGAATTTCTATTACTATAAACATAATAGAAATATGATTTATCTTTGATTAAATCAATGATGAGTTTAATGCAAGAAGTCATTGGATTACTTGCTTAGGCCTTGAAAACAACTGGTCAGAAACCTCCCCAACATGCTACCCTCTCATACTTTCCTTCCCACCTTTTTGGGCTCTATGAGAATATTGCCAGCATCACAGGAGCTATCTATTTCTTCTTCCTGTGACTCTAAGATCCCCAAACTCAAAACCCAAAGGTTGGCAAGAAAAGGTCCTGTAACATATTTCAATCATTAAAAAAAATCTTTTTCCTCTTTCCTCCACCAAATACACAGAGGGTACCCCTTGGCAAAGTTTACAACCTAATTTCTTTAGTAGATCTTGTGGCCCATATTTAGAGCAAAATATTCATTTACTGAACAAATTGTTTTGAGTACTTTTTATGTGCTATGCTAAGCACTTTACATTTACTATGTACAATTTACACAACCACTTGGGTAAGTTTGGTTCCCAGGGGTTAACAGGATTGCAAGGCCATGAAACCACAGAGTGCTTGACACCATGCAGAGAGATGTCAGGTTGACTCAGAGCCCTTACTCCATCTGCTTGGGCAAACAGAGGAAACTTTTGGTATAGGATATTTTTCATCAACAGTAAGTCCTTACTGAAGTTATTACTAGCAGGGATTTCAGCCCTTAAAATGTATTCAGCCTTTACATAAAGGTCATATCCACTTAATGATATTCTTCCTTATTTCTTGATGAGACCATAATGTTGGTTAAAAGAACCAACTGAATTCATTAAATTTTACCGTAATGAGAAATTCTGTCCACTTTTGTCCTGTGACTATTAGACATTCATTTTTACACATATTTTTTCACTTCCCAAAAATTCCAAGCCCTTTTTATTTATCCCAGAGTTCTCTATTTGTTGAAATAGCTTGCTGTTTATATCCATGAACTGAGTTTGAAGTGTCATTGGTATCTCTGATAAAATATTAGGAAAAACCTGGGGTATAAAGGCCAAATGGCTGTGTTAGAGTCTCTATTAAATTTGAATTTGATAAGTCCATGGATCATATATATGGCATGTGCTGTGGCTTTTTACTTTCCGTTCTCTGGCCACTATCAAATGGTAAATTGAAAGGAAATTCTTGGTCACCATCAAATTGATTGATTGAGACGTACGGCAATTTTTAAGCCAAACTAATGTCAAATAGGACATAGAATTCTGGGATAGTTCCAATTATAGAATCAGAAATATGGATTCTTAATTCTAAATAAATTACACAA